TGTTGAATAAAGTTATCAACTATGTTATTTCCAGAAGTCCAAGTGGTGAAAAGACTCTGTAATTGTAAACTAATACAGCCTTCACAGAACCTATCAGAGTATCTTGTCAATTTACACTTGTTACATTCTTTCGGTTTACCCCATTCATAAGTTGCATTTTTTAATTCAAACTCATAAATAAACCTTTGCTTACAATATTCTTTTTCATTTTCAGGAAGCTCTTTGTTTTTCTTGACTAATGAAAAAAAATAGTCTTTTCTACTTTCTTTATCAGAATTAGCCATTGTGTTATTGTACATTTCATTATGAATTTTAAATACAAAGCGCTCCCTTTCTGGTGATAACAATTTAGCATATGACATTATATAAAGATATAAAATATAAAATTCGAGATTTTTGGTACAACATTTTTTTGATTAATTGATAAGGATGTAAATTGAAAAACGAAAATTGCATTATTTAAAGAACAACTTCATCATAACCAAACTCTAGTGATAATTCTTTATATCAAACGCTTTTACTTACGTCTAGTGTTTTTAATTCCGTCAAATGGTTTTACTTATGTCAAGGGATTTTACTTAGTAAATCTTCAAAATAGCCTGGTGAGTAACTACCTTTAGTCAATACTTTAGTTACGTTAATGACTAAAATCAAAAGTTTCGTCATACATCATTAGCTCGCAATCTTTAATTTAATATAGTTATTTACCTTTTTGAATGAATTGCAATTACCTTTTTGAATTCCTCTGACGAATTTCGATATTGCTTATATGAATAGTTCTTTAATTAGTTGAGCCAGACCACATAATTTGCCAATCTATTAAAAAATTCAGAAACTATAACAATCTAGTTTATGAATATTTTGAAAGTAACTATGAAATACATCACAATCAACCATCCAATTATAATCTAAATGAGCGGTTTCAAGTATCCACATCAGCCGATTTGGTTTTTTGATGTTAAACACGAGTATTTTCAATGTGTAAACTGGTCAGTAGAATGATAATTAACCCCAAAAAAAATTATTTGCTCCGCTAAAAAAACTATTTTACTATTCAACAACCCGTCAAACCAATGGCCCCGCCTCAAAACCGATGGGTTTTTGCTAGTATAAAGTATTCATAATGTTATGGTCAAACAAAATCAGCGCATATGCCGATAAATTTTTCCGTATTAGGAAGTGACAACAGATATTACAAAAAAATTTGAATTGGCCCTTATCGCATGATCTCACATGTTGTGCGTGAATTGAAATTGTCCAGCCAAGTTTGTATCCAAATAAGTTCATAAAAAAATATCAATATTATTATCTCAAAATATTCATCAATTAACCCTATTAGGAATAAGTTCTTTATCAATAAAATTTTAATGCGTACTGTATATTATATATGGAACCTTTTCTTCTGGTAAGATTCCAAGATTACCTTGGGGATTTACAGAATTTGGTTTTCCAGGAGAACAACGCAATTAATGGCATACTGCATATTACCGAAAAAGGTTCGGTATTATTGTAATGCATTTATAATTTGAAAAATTATTCATAACATTCTCTAGTTCTGAAAAGCTCTATTGGAATTTTTCGGAATTTCTCAGAGACGGCTTTTTTCTGGAAAAGGTTGCCATTTTTTATTGTTAATTTTTTAGGTGCGAGATGTGTTGGAGTAATAAAATCAGTTTTGAAGACAAATAAATCTGAATATTTTGTTGTACGAAAATAATGGTGGTGGCAAAAAGTTGCATATCTCAACAAATATTGAAGGATAGGTGAAGGTAGGTTTGCACGACCGCAAGGCATAATCAAATAGGTTTAGATTCATTTAAAATAAAAAAATTTATATTGCCAATTTTTTGTAAAGCTAATTCACATTTTTTTCGCAAAATTTTTGACGTAAAATTTTGACTAACACAGAAATTACATAATAATAATTATATTTTCTAGAACTTTGTCAATTAAAAATAAAAGAAATCCTTGAAAAAGTATATAAAACCTTGGATCAGATAGCCATTATCCTGTTCATGTTCAATAGTACTCATTCTTTAGGCATTTTGAGATTACGTTCAACGGTATGAAAGGGAATATTCACTTCCTGATGTATTTTTCCTTGATGAATGAGCATTATCAGACCAGTAATGTAAATAACGTGAAACATTTTGAAGTTATAAACTATCTATAAACATTGGTTCTTGTTTTTGTTGTATACAAGTAATACAAGTAAGAATGTTGTACGGCTTTAAAGACATCTTGGGTTGCTAAAATGTGTCTAGCACGACAAGTCAAGGTTCTTCAAAGAAACTTTAAGAAGAGAATAATAATGAAGGATGGTTGTTTTTATTTGGCAGCTGCAAGTTTGTTACATAATTAGATCGTATAGTCATGTGTTATGGCCAGAATTAGAATAGTTTCGGCACGTGCATGATAATTTGGGCCAAAATTATATACTTCAAATTTTTTATAATAACTCCAGCCAGAACCAATAAAAATTTTAAAATATTAAGCTCCAAAGTTAATCGATGGGTTATTATGACCCACAATATGCAAATATAAATCCTCTAAAAATAATATTAATTCTATTTAAATAGTTGAACCGCGCTGACTGGTGGTTTGCCAGCACCCAAACAATGTCCTCTTGAACCTGAAAAGGGCATATTTAATATCAACTAAACATTTGACATCAAATTAGGCATGTTGACATCAAATTAGGCATTGATATCAATGTCGAATGACGAAATATTAATATTTCAACAAAATTTCGACTAACAACTCCATAAATCCAAGATCCCTTCCTTCACTTATCTCGGTATAAAGTCCGATAGGATCATTATTAACATTCCATGAGTATTGTTTTGACACCATATGGTAATTATCTGTTGTAAATGTCTGATCCTATTTTTGAATGCGCTGGCGAGTTCAGGCGCGAGATAATAAGATGTGATCCAACCAAATCTTCTGTGTCGATCTGTATCTGTCCCTCGTAATTGTCTGTCTAGTTTTGACTCGCCAAAATCAATTATCTTGACTTGTTTAAAAGTATCATCCGTAACATGATATTGTCAGGTTTGATGTCTCGATGAATTATTTGTTTCTCGTAAAAGAAACTATGATAATTACTTTTATTGCTGAACAAATTTGGTTTTCCAGTGTTAGAAATCTAAATTAACTATTCCTATATAGACTTCATGACTCCTCTTAAAGATGATTACTATATTCCCCCTGTCAACGTAATCATCAACTACTTTTACAATGTTGTTGTGGTTTAATTTTTAATTTCATTTCTATAATAATAAATAAATTAACAATGAAATAATAAATATAAATTTTACATTTCAAATTTGTAATTATTTATTTTTTTCAAATGTTGTTAAAAAAAAAGAATCAGCATAAGAAGAATCTGATTATGTTTAAGGAAAGTATGAAAATTAAGATGCGCGTATAAATAAGTTTGTGTATATTTGAAAATAATTAGCAGCAGCTTCATACTCATCATCCCCATCCATCAATTATCATATCAACCAACAATGAACATGAAATCCATCATGATGATATATAAAATTGCGATGGAAAATATAATAAATCAGTTAAAATATTTAGGAATTTATTGAAGGCGGTAGGAATTATCGGAAACTGTATTGTTGTTAATCAATAAGTCAATGATGACGTGAATGTGAATGAAAATCGTAATCAACGGTATGAATCAAAGGATTCTTAATCGAAGATAAATTTGTATGTATGTATGTATGTATATATATATATATATATCGTTGTGATTATAATAAATATAATATATAAAGTAATAGTATCTATGATTTGTGTAATTTAAAAAAATTTTAAGGGAAATTTTGAAGGAAAAAAATGATTGCAAAAATATATACATTGATTTAAAAAAAAAATATTTGAAAATAATAATATTAACAAATGATATAAATAATAATAGTTAAAGATAATAATATAAATATTATTAATATTACTATTTTAATATCTATTACGTGACCTATCTAATGAACGTGGTATTGTAGATCTCCCGGATGGTAAAGGTGGAGCTGCATTAGATTGTCGCTTTTAATTTTACCCAAGAGAAATTGAGAATTGAAAAAAAAAGTTAATATCTTTGCTAATAGTATTATAATTATTATTATTATTATTATTATGGATAAAATACCCTTGACATATTATTGTTATTTAAAAATCCTCTTCCATATGGAATATGATGATCTATATAAGGAGGATGACCAGGACGATAGTCATTTCTATGATAATAAGGATATTGGTCATCTCTTGCTCTTCCCTGAAAATAAAAATAATATTTCATATATTTTTTTTTAAATAATTTTTTCTCCAATAATTATGAGTAAATCATACATATTTTAATATACATTTATTTACCATCATCATATTTCCAGAATTTGAATTTGAGCTAGTTGAAGATGGTGAGGAAGAAATATGTGGTGATGATTGTAAAGATTGACCATAATAATAATAATTATTACCATTATTATTGTTGTTAAAGCTATTATTACTGTTATTATTAAAATAACTACTATTGTTACTATTATTGTTATTATTGTTATTGTTATTATTGTTATGGTATATTGAATCATAATACATTCCATTTGATGTGGATGCTGATAAAGTACGGGATCTTTTATTAAACGATGGTCCAAAAGACGGTGAAGATTGTTCTTTAGAACGTTTATTACCAATAAATATTTGACTTTGGAAATGTTCTCCGTCTAAATTTGCAATTTTTAAAAATATTTAATATTTTTGAGATTATTTATTCATCTATTTATTTATTATTCTTGAAATAATTAGATAACTTACCTTTATTTAATTCATCATTATTATTGTTAATGTTATTGTTTTGTAGTGTACTCCTTTTCCTATATTTAAATCCAAAAAAAATACTTTGAATTTATTGAATTTATTTCAAAAAAATTCTTATCAAATCTATAAAAAAATTTTTTTCTTACATCATATTATTATTATTATTATTATTATTATTATTAGTAATAATATCATGTTTGGGCTCTTCAGAAACTGTCTCACGTAATTTTTGAAATAAATTTTTTTTTAAAGTTGTCAATTCTTTAATCTTTGTAATTATAAATGCTTCGTCAACATTATCATTGTTGTTGTTGTTCTCTTCATTCAGGATTATTCTTGAAACCTTTTCATTGCGATCTTTAATTGTTGTAGTATCTATTTTATTAAATTTGTCAACATCTTTATTTGATTTTTCATTTTCTTGATTTTTAAAATTTTTATTATTATTACTAATATTATTATTATCGTTACTATTACTACTACTAACACTATTATTGCTATTATTGTTATTACTACTCATATTATTATCATAATTTAATGAACTAAATGATGATGATAATACTTCAATTAAATTTTCTTCTTCATCAGAAATATTATTATTATTATTATTATAAGAAACTGTCAAAGGATTTTCAACTTCACCATCTATTATAACTTTATTTAAATCATCATTATTCATATTCAACATGAGTTGATTATCATCATCATCATCATGTTCACTATGATTATTACTACTAATATATTCACCTTCTTCCTCTGATGATAAATACTCTTCTTTATTATTATTATTATCATCATCATTATTAACATTTTTGTTATTATTATTATTATTGTTGTTGTTGTTGTTGTTGTTGTTGTTATTATTATTAGTTAAATGTCCATTTGTTAATCTATGATTATGATTATAATCATGACCTCTAGCGTTCTTATTATTACTATCATTGCTAATGTAGTTGTTGTTGTTGCTGTTATTTTTGTTGTTGTTGTTGTTGTTGTTACTACTTATACGCTGCTTTGATAATACTTTATGAGTTATAGCTTTTTTTATGTGTTCAGGAACTGGATCTCTAACTGAGAAAACAACATTCGTCAATATTTGATTGTCGTCCATTGCCTTTATCATCATCATTATTATTTATTATTATTATTTTTATTATTTATTATTTTTATTAATTATTATTATTATTATTATTATGTATTATTAGTAATGTTATATTAAATGGGTTTTTAATGAATATTCAAAACAATACCTTGCTTTAATATCCTGTTTATAATTGTTGTTGTTAAAACAACAACAATAGACATTGTCAAAAAGTTTGGGAGAAAATTTATATATGGTATTTTGGTTTAATATAATAATACCAAAAGTTAGGACATATTTAAGTTTTATATATAACTGATTAAAATTAAATAAAAAAGTTAATTCAGTAATTTTGTCTTACTATATTAATAACGATAATGATCCACACATGCATAATTTTTCGAGGGAAAAAATACAGAAACGTAGTTTCTGTAGATATTTTCTAAATTTGTATTAAGTTACACGAAAAAAAATTCGATAGTAACCAAATTTGAAAAAAAATCTTGATTTTAACAACTTGGAATCTTATTTTTCTTTGGGAAACTACTATATATAAATGCCTTTTATTATAGTTAGAATAGTTATTAATTTCATAACTTGTAAACTTTTTTTTTAGTTAGTTCTTTTTTTTAGTTATTGTAATATGTTACAATAAATATATTAATAATAATTATGTTATCAGTAGCAAATTATTATTCTTCTTGTGGAAGGAAAAGAGAACTTTTTAATATATATGTGCGTGTGTGCGTGTGTATACCATACCCACACCATATATCATTCATACATTGTCTGTTTTGCACACACGCACACAAAAAAACCAGCAATAATTAGATGTCTGTACGACTTTTTCAATAATCTAAAAATTCTCTTTGCTTGTTTATTTATTTACAAAGTAATATTTGTGAATAATTTATATTTTTTTATTTTTTTTTATTTTATGTTTTTTAATATTATAGACACGATTAATCTTAAGAGATAATTTGTATATACAGTAATTTATAAGTTGTATGTATAATCGATAAAGATTAAAGGTTAATTTTATTTATTTTATATATATATGTATATAATATAATAATGATTGTCCAATGTGCAATTCTAAAAAAATTTAGTTTGTTTTATAAAAAAATGTATTATTGATAATCATTATTATTATGGTTGTTGTTGTTGTTAAAAACTTGGTTGAAAGCTCCTTGCAATTGAAGAAGAGATTGTTGTTGTTGTTGCTGTTGTTGTTGTTGTTGTTGATATAATAATGAGAAATCAAAAAAATCAGAAGGAGAAAATGAATGTGGTAATAATAAACTATATGGATTGTGAATATATGATGAAATATAATCATTATTGCTATATTGTGGAATAAATAGTGGTATCGATGAATTATTATTATTATTAGTGGTAATGTTTATAATGTCGTTGTTGTTAGTATTGATAATATTGTTACTAATACTAGTTGCATTATTATCACTATCATTATTATCATTATTATTTATTGTTGGGAATGAATTATCTACAGCTAAATTATCTATTGGACTTTGATAAAATATAAATGTATTACTATCGTTGTCATTATCAGCATCAACACTATCGCTGTTGTTGATATTGTTAGAAGGAGATGTCGAGGACGTTGAAGATGCGTGTCTTTTATTTATTAACTCTATACTTTTATTATTATCTTTACTGTTATCAATTTTCAATTTTCTCTTTCTTTTTCTTTTTGAACAATTATCATCACCTTCGTGCCCTTCACCTAGTAGTAGTCCTTTACCATTGTTCTCATGTTGAGTTTGAGAAGAAGATTTACTACTGCGACGACGTTTTTTCTCTTCGGGACGTCGAGGCTTGTATCTATATTCAGGATATTTTTTCATATGCTCCTGTTTAGCAGTTTCAGCCATCTTCTGATACTTGAGTCTAATGTCCTCAGGTTCTTCATGCCACATTTTGCCAATTTCTTTCGAAACATCATTATTTGATATTCCACCATTATTTTTAGCCAATATTGAGGGTTGTTTTGCCCTTCGATAAAGAATAAAAGCGTTTGGTGGTCTTGGAGGTTTTTTGTCGGGTAATAATAATGAAGAAGGTGAAAGTGGTGGTTTCTTTGTAGCGCCAGCGTTTGTGGTGGTTGTTGTCGAGTTATCTTGATTATTGTCGTCTTGATCATTGTCGGTATTATTGTTAACTGTACAAGGTAATGCGTATGATGGTAGACGAACGTCAGTGTCAAGCAGCATTCTTGACACGTTAGGTGCTGTCGAAACCGGTTTAGTGGATTGCAACAGATTGGTGACCGTTTGATCTTTGATGTCGTTTGGCACTAGGACAGGTTCAAAACCATCAGGGATAAAATAGAAATGTCCTTTCCCTTGTTCATATAAATCTTGAATTTTATCATATGAAACGTATTCGAAAATTGGAAATTGGTTTTTCTTAAGTTTAATAAAAGGTGAAAAGGAAAAGGAGGTAGTGGTGGTGGCGGTGGCGGCGGCGGTGGAAGGGTTAGAAGAAGAAGAGGAGGAAGAGGAGGAAGTAGAAGAAGAAGAAGAGGTCGAGGAAGGAAAAGATGAAGCGGTGGCGGATAAAGGTGATGGTTCGTCATCATCATCATCATCATCTTCTTCTTCTTCTTCTTCGTCTTCGTCTTCTTCAACATTATCATTGTTCTTATCATTATCCTTATTATCGTAGAATATTTTTTTTTCTAACAAATGCAATAAAGAAGATTCGATTAACGATTGTGCTTGGCTTAAATTGGAAGACGAAGGTGGGGAAGAAGAATGAGAAGAAGAAGGAGAAGAAGAATGGCTATCAAGTTTATTATTATGATTATTATTGTTAATATTGTTGTTAATGTTGTTTAAAATGGCCATTGTTTCAGATATGTATAATGAAGAAACAGAATGACTCGATGATGATGATATTGTGGAATTGTGAAAAGTTGTTTAAAAAGAGAGAAAGAGAAAAAGGTTAGTTTTTGTTTTTTATTTTGTTGCTTTGAAAAGGTTTTTCAAAAATATTTGGGAAAAATATGATTTTGTTTCAACGAAAAGATACATGATTTAAATATATATATATATGATTTAAATATATTATATTATTAATTTAAAAAATTTTTTTATTTATATTTGTGCATAATTTGCCAATTTGTAACACATTTTATTTGTCAACCTTGAATATTATCGCCAAAATTAATAATTTCTTTTCACTTGTATTAAAGAAGATGGTTGCATGACTATTTTACTAAAAAAGTTTTACATGTTTTTTAAATTAATATATGTAAAAAAACATAAAAGTGTGTTTATATATACATGCATACTAGTTAATACCGTATATACCGCACACATGTAGCTTAAAACTTGGACATTGCAATTTTCCTAAATTAAAATCCTCGACCAACCAACCGTTAGCAAACCAACCGTTAACAAAATAGAACTTGAATTGGGCGGAAAAAAAAAAGAGTCCTTTCTGTTTTAATTCGCCCTCTTCTTCATAACCAAATCTATAGTCAATCATTTTTTTCTAATAACTTTATATATTTTTAATTTTAATTTTTTTAGATTAATTATTTGTTTGTTGAGTCATGTTTGTGTGTGTTGCGTGCATAAGAGTTTTTCATAATTAACAAATAAATTATATTGTTAGGGTGTTTGGTTGGAAATTTTACAATGATCGATAATATACAGTTGGTATATATAATTAATTGAAAGGTTGGTTACACGCCAAATAATGAATAATAATTTTAAGCATATTATAATTCATGATGTAATTAAAAAAATCTCAATGCTAAATTTTAAAAAATTAAATTATACATTTATAGTCGACAAGATCCCCCATTCATAAAAAACCCATTCTTCTCAATAACTTTAATTTATTAATCCCCGCATTAATTCGTGTGGAATTAATATCAAAAAGTTTCAGAAATTTACATAATTGAAAACAAACAATGGTAGTTTCCAAATTTGTCGATATAATTAATAACACACAATGTTCAATAACATTATATAATAATAAAACGTTATAATATAAAAAATAAAATAAAATTTTATTACTGGAAAAGGCAAAAAATCGGCCGTAAACGCCACCTCTTATCATTTTTCTTCCAATAAAAATTAATTGAGCCCCATTCAAATCAAATATATACGAAAAAGTAAAATGTTTTTTCAAATTTGGTAAAAATTAATAAGCTTTTTTTCCAGCATTTACTAATAAAAGAATTTCATCATAAGGAAAACGTACCAATAGTGTAACACACACAGATACAATGCAACTAATGTTATTATATCACCATTATAAACATACTAATACAGTATTAGTATAAATAAATATGGAATTTGCCTTATAAAATGAAAATATTTTTTAATTATGTTTTTACCTATTGTTTTCTACTGACCTCGATAAAATTAAATCTGACTCGGAGAATTTATTTATTTAGATTTAGGTAAAAATTAATATAGATAATCACTAATTGTAAACAACTAATTATAAAACTAGCTGATAATTATATTTATTCGGTTATTTTTTCCATTTTTTTCAACACCTACAAATCGTATAATCTTGTAAATAAATTGTTATTTTTAGTCTTGTTTGATAAAATAAAGCTGATTTTTGATTGTGATTTTTCAATTGTTTAAAATCAAAAAGAAAAACTAATTAATTAATTCATCAATAATATTTCAATCAAAGTCACTTACCTCCTTTACATTCTACTTGCATAATAATTAAAAATCTAAACATTTAAGATATATATTCAGACAATATTTATTTTTGGTCCCTTTGTAATTAATTTGTTTTGCTTATATTTTATTGATTTCTTTAAAAATTTCTTCTTTTTAATTAATTAATAATTGATGATTATAAGAAGCATGATTAAAATAGAACAATCGTTATTTTCTCACCGATTAATTACTATTTAGTTAGTCTATTAATATTATTAATATTCAAAAATGGTTTTGAAGAGAAAATATAAAGAAGAAAATCACGGAACAATTTGTGAAATAAGAAGACCTGATGATTTCATCGAATCAAACAATTCAGCTCTAGATTAGATTGGTTATATTGGTAAATAAATGAATGAATGAATGAATGAATGCACGGCGGGATGAATGGATAGATGGATGAAGTCATAATTAATAATCATAATAAACCATTCGAATAAATCGTCATAATAATAATTACCATTCTTTATATAAAAAAATAACAATACTAACCATGAACTTTGATTGTTTGAATTTCCTTCCTTTCAAAAATAGTAAAGTTATTAGATGTCCAGTTAAGGAAAAATAAAAATAAAACTTTGTTTGTAACGCGTACAGTTTTTCTTTGCGTACAATTAAATGCAGGGAAAGAAAATAATTGTTTAATTACTCGCTTGCTTATTACTTAGAGATGACAGGATTAACAACAGGAACAATAAATAAACAAACTAGTTAGACCATGTTCTTTCATAATCATAATAAATACGCATTTAATTAATGCAAATGCAATAATTTACTCATTTATTATAAAAAATAATAAATTACGAAATAATACACGCGACAATATCTTTATTATTATTATCATTATCGCCACTACTATTATCATTATCATTATCACTATCATTGTTATTAATTAGTATTAGTGTTTAGTTGTCGATTGATTATTCCTTGGGAATAAAATCTATAACGAGAGAACAAGGTTTATGATTATCATATTATAATGACAGTGATGATGATAATAACAACAATAATAAATCATTTGTAGTTTCTTTTATTAGAAAATGTGAATTTTGTATATTATCAGTATATCAATATTAATATACGCGTAGATAAATAAATAAACTCATGTACATTTTTGTTTTTGTTGATTTATTCTTCGCATGTATTTATTTATTTTTGCATTTATTTATTTTAATCAATCTGTCTGTATCCAAGATGTCGTTGATTTTATTTCTTCTATTGCTGCGGTTGCATTCTAAATTTTTGTACTACCAGTTGGATGAATGCAGTAGATCAAAACCAAATCTATAAATTTTACAAGTTTTTAACAAATAGATACTTCTTATTGTCCATCATTGTTCAACTAATATACGCGTTTTTTAATATATAATCATTATTATATTATGATTATACAACATGCATATAAAACAGGTAATAAAATAATTATTGCTTATATTGGAAATGTTTAGAAATCTATACTAATTTATACATGTATACAGATTATAATTCAAGGCTTTAAATCTTACAAAGATCAAACTGTTATTGAACCTTTTAGTCCAAGACATAATGTTGTTGGTAAGAAGTCATTGCAATAATTAAAATAGAATAAACCTTTCATTCAAAATTTTTTTAATTATTATTATATTTAAAAAAGTTGGAAGAAATGGATCTGGTAAAAGTAATTTTTTTGCAGGTTAGAAATTTTTCATTATGTTTAATTATTTATCTATTTGTTTGTTATTTAATAAAGATTGGTTGATAATTTTTTTTTAAATTATTAAATAAAACCATAATATAAAATCAGCTATTCGATTTGTATTAAGTGATTCATATACAACTTTGAGTCGTGAGGAGAAACAAGGTCTTCTTCATGTAATTAACAATTTGATCTTATTTTACAAAGCTTATATAAATCTATCTATACATATGTATCGCTCTTTTAATAATAATAATAATTATTATTATCATTTATTACTAATAGGAAGGAACTGGACTTGCTACAGCATCAGCTTATGTAGAAATTATATTTGATAATAGTGATAATAGATTTCCTGTTAGTAAATGATTATTATTAGTTGATAATCATGATTGATCTTTACTGCCTTAAAAAAAAAAAACTTTGATTGATTATATTTTATTATTATTAGACTGGTAAAGATGAAGTGGTTTTACGTAGAACTGTCGGAACAAAGAAAGATGAATACTCACTAGATAAAAAAAGTGCAACGTGAGTTTTTTTTTTTTTTTTTTAAGAATTAATTAAATGTGATTGTGTATACATGTGTTTAAAACATATTCTCTAATTTTTTTTTGTGTTTACTTTTTATTATAGGAAAGCTGACGTGATGAATTTATTAGAAAGTGCAGGTTTCTCACGTTCAAATCCCTATTACATTGTGCCACAAGGAAGAGTAAGTATTGATCAATATTAAAGAATTGATTTTTTTGGGGTATTGATTAATTGCTTAGTATATATACAAAAAATATATATGCACACACACAAAAACGTGCCTATGCAGATAATGGCTTTGACGAATGCAAAGGATCTTGAACGTTTAAAATTATTAAAAGAAGTTGCTGGCACAAGAGTATATGAACAACGTAGAGAAGAAAGTGTTAAAATACTCGAAGAGACAGGTTGATAGTTAATTAATCAATACTAGTTATTATTATCACATGCATATATTATAAGTATTACTTTTTATATTTTATAGATTCTAAAAGAACAAAAATTGAAGAACTTTTACATTATATTGAGGACCGCTTGGCTGAATTGGAAGAAGAAAAAGAAGAATTAAAAGTTTATCAAGATAAGGATCGTGAAAGAAGATGCTTGGAATATGCAATATTTCATAAGGAACAAACTGAATTGATAGAACAGTTGACAAAGGTTTGTTTTAACAATGTATATATAATATATGGGTTTTTTTTTATTATTTAATATTTAATATTTTTGTTGCAGATGGATCAAACAAGAGAGCATAAAGTTCATAATTCAAATCAACAAAATAAAGATTATAATGTTTATGCACAAGCAATCACTGTAAGAACTATTATAATTAAAATATAATAAATATGAAACTTTATTTCAGGAATTAAACATTAATATATATCCATATTAAAAAAAAATGAAAAGAATATTGAACATGAAATTTCTCAACTTCAAGAATCAATTGATCTTTTAAAAGTGGAAAAGCGTGAGCTTGATGAAGATTTACAAGATAAAATTAAATCAAATGCTCAAATAGAATTAACTATAAAAGATATGGAAGATACATCAAGGCAAAATAAAGATTCAAAGGTTTTTTGATTTTTTTTTTAGTGTTTTGAATTTTGAATTTTATTTATTTATTTTTAATACGACAAAAATATTTATGTTCATTTTTTATTTATTTAGAAAAAAAGAGAAACGGAATTAAAGACAGTTGAAAATAGTATTCGACAAAAAGAACTAGATTTAGCAAACATAATTCCAATATATGAAAATGAATTGGCTCAAGAGGCTGCATTGAGAGAAAGGTTTAATAATAATAACAATAATAATAATAGGTTTTTTTAATTTATACCGTTTTTTAAAAAAACACATACGTGCGTGTACATATAGATTAAATGAAACAGAGATGCGACGTCAAGCTCTTTATGCAAAACAAGGAAGAAGCACACAATTCCAAACACGTGCTCATAGAGATGCTTGGTTGCAAAGTGAAATACAAGAGATTGATAAAACAATGGATGCACAGAGACAACAGGTTAGGATAAAATATATATATATATAAATATAAATAGAAATTATGGATGGTGAATTGTATCAAACTCTTTATCTGTCTATACATTAAAAAAAAATTTTTTTTTACGAGTTAATTAGGAAGTAGATCTAGAATCGCAAATAAATGATTTAACAGAAAGTATAAATAGAGTAACGAATGAAATTCAAATAGCCCGAAATAAATTAGAACAAAGAAAACGTATCATTGAAGAAATGAATCGTGGTTATATTGAAAAAAAAGCCGAAAGAGATAGACTTACTGACAAAAGAAAGTATGTACAAAAATAAAAATAAATTTTATTTATGCTTCGGTTTTTTATTTATAATAATAATGAATCTTTTTTAATTAGGGAGCTTTGGAGGGAAGATTCTCAATTAGATACAAAACTTGTTAATGCACGTGATCAATGGAAAACTAATGAAAGGAGTTTGGCTAGTTCTATGGACAAAGTATTTGGTTTGATTTTTTTAAAAAAAAAACTTTTTTTCCCTATAAAAAGAAAAGTGATTTATTGAACAATTAATATTGATAATGAATAATAGAAAACTAATAATGGACTAAATGCCGTGAAACGGATTGCTGAGCAATACCAAATAAAAGGCGTTCACGGACCTCTTTATGAATTATTTGATTGTAATGATTCAGAATATTGGACAGCTGTTGAAGTCACTGCTGGACAAAGGTATTATTATAATATGATATTTATAGATACACATAGATTATATAAATTAATAATAAATGTACATTTTAATTTAATGGTAATTTATACTTTAAAAGTTTATTCCATGTAGTTGTTGATAATGATGAAATAGCCACAAAAATTCTTGATTATTTAAATCGCGAACAAAATGGGCGAGTTACATTTGTGCCTTTGAATCGATTAAAATCAAGAAATTTTGAATATCCAAATACAAATGAAATTTTACCTATGATAGATATTCTTAAATATAATGAAAAATATGCTAAATCCATTGAACAGGTTTTTACAACAACAACAACAACAATAATATTTATTTAAATATATAAATAAACAAATAAATATATATGCATTTATTATATTTATTGTGATAATATTATAAAGGTTTTTGGAAGAACAATAATATGTGATAGTTTAGATATCGCTTCTTCAATATCAAGAAGTCATGACTTGAACGGCATAACTTTAGATGGTATATTTTTATATATAAATTTACTACTACCGTTATTATTATTATAAATAATCATTGAAGATTATCAATTTTAGGTGATCGTGTTGATCGTAAGGGAGCATTAGCAGGCGGTTATCATGATGTGCGTCGAAGAAGATTAGCAGCTTCAGCAAATTTAAAAAAATGGAGAATAGAATATTTAGAATTAGATAAAAGATCTAAAACTGTAAAAAAAGAAATATCTAATATCCTTTTTAAAAACCCCTCTCATTGTAAACATGTAGACAAAAACTTTTTTTTAGGTCCTTAACTCTTATTTTTTTTTTAATTAGTACATTTAGACGAACAAATTAATCAAATATTAAGAGATATGCAATTTATTGAGGCTAAACAAAAACAAGCTCTAGATAGTCGTGATCCTTTACTGTTTGAAATCAATTCAAAGACTAAAGAGGAAGAAAGTTTGAAAATGTCATTAGCTAGCAAGGTTTTTCTTTTCGCCTTCTTTCCATCAAAAAAAAAAAAATATTATTATTTAATATAATAATTTTTTTTATTGATTTATTTTATTTATAGAAAAAATCTTTATTAAGTATTCAAAGTAGCATTAAAATGTTAAATGCTCAAAAACAAGCTCATGTGACAGAGATGAGTACAGAGCTTACACAGAACCTAACAGCACAAGAACAACAATCTTTAGAACGACTTAATTCGGATATTGAACTGATGCAAGATAATTTATCAAAATTATTAACATCAAGATCTGAGGTTTAGATTATTATTAATATTATTTATATTCAAAATAATTATTGTAATAAACCCATGTAAACTTATAATCTATATTTATAGCTTGAGGCGAGCAAAAATATTATAGAGAATGAATTGAATGCAAATTTAAAAAGGCGACGTGAAGAACTTGTGATGCAAATAGAAAGTTTAAGCACCGTTGATGATGACCAACTACATTCAATTAAGGAAGGTTTAATGAAATTAATTCGTGAAATGAAGAGACGTTCGCAAGGTGTATTTACACGCATTTACATGCATTTTATTATTATTTATTTATTTATTTATTATTTATTGTTATTTATTGATTTTAATTTGAAAAAAAAGAAATTGAAGAAGAAATACAAAGGCTTAATAAAAAATTCAATTTAAAAAAGACTGAATCGGAAACATTAAAGGTAACGAAAATAAATTTCGTTGAGTTGGATTATGTTACTTACTCCCTTCATGTATTCTCATCCTCGCATTCATTCCTTTTTTTTCAATTATTATTGTTATTATTTATATATAAAGTCTGAACAAGCAGAACGACAGCAACAATTGGAAAGGCATCAAAAAGATGTTGATAAATTTTTATCAAAAAGAAAATTATTGTTACAAAAAAAAGATGAATGCACAAAAAATATTCGTGAACTTGGTGCATTACCAGAAGAGGCATTCGAGGCTTATGTAAATGAAGAATCTGCTAGTGTGAGTTTCACGTTACATCAATTTTAGGTACAAATACATACAAATACACATATATGTTAATTTGTATATTTGTTTTTTTCCTTTCAATTATTAGCTTCTTACTAAATTGCATATGGTAAATGATGGTTTAAAAAAATACAGTCACGTTAACAAAAAAGCTTTTGAACAGTATAATAATTTTACCAAGCAACGTGATACTCTTATGAAAAGAAAAGAAGAATTAGATCAATCAAAAAATGTATATGTTATATATATATATATACAATGTTTGTTGTTATTATTATTGAAGAAATCAAAAATTAATATTGATATATTTTTTTGGGGGGAATTTTAGTCGATAAATGGGTTAATACAGGTTTTAGATCAACGTAAAGATGAAGCGATTGAACGCACATTCAAACAAGTTGCTAAATACTTTTCTGAAGTATTTGAAAAATTGGTTCCTGCAGGTCGGGGACAATTAATTATGTTAAGAAAGATTGATAGGGTACTCGCTTTTTTATTTATCTTTATTAAAATTTTTAATTTTGTTTGATTCTACAAAATATAATAATAATGATTAATCAATATAGGGAAAAGAGGTAGATGATGTTGACGATGAAAATAATGAAACAAGTAATAGTTCAGTAGATAATTATAGTGGAGTTGCTATTAATGTTTCTTTTAACAGTAAGACTGATGAAGGTCTTCGAATGCAACAATTATCTGGAGGACAAAAATCTTTAGTGGCATTGACTCTTATCTTTGCTATCCAACAATGTGATCCTGCTCCCTTCTATTTGTTTGATGAAATTGATGCTGCACTTGATGCTCAATATCGAACTGCTATTGCATGTAAGGAAGTTTTATTAATTTAGTCCTTATTTAATCCTTTTTTTAAAAAATGCAAATTCTCCATTTAATTATGTGAATTATCATTTTAAAGCAATGATTCATGAATTATGTGACAAAGCTCAATTTATCACAACTACTTTTCGTCCAGAAATGTTAGCAAATGCTGATAAATTTTATGGTGTAACTTTTCAAAATAAAGTTTCAAGTGTTAGTGAAATAAGTAAAGATGATGCACTTAAATTTATTACACAGGTAACTTTTTTTCTTTAAAAAAAAAGATTCCTTTTGAAAAGAATAAAAATTATTAATCAATTTTTTTAATAATATTATTATTATTAAATAGGAACAACCACGATAAAAAGTTTATGCTAACAAAATAAATGAGAATGATAATAGTACCTAAAGATTTTTTTTAATTATATTAATAAATGAACGCGCGCATGTATATAAGATTTATGATATAAAGCACAATAATAATTTCATTTATTCAAATCAAACATATATATATATATATAATAAACCTACCTTTAGAAATCATAATGACGTAACAATTTGTATTATTATCATTATTATTGCTGTTGTTGTTGTTATTGTTGTTACTTTTAAATTGACCATGCAGAAAACCATTTACTAAAATCTAAACGTAATAAAAATTGATCAAGATGTCTTGGTGGACCATCAAATCCCTCGCCAGTTTTATTAACTTCAGATAAAGTTCGAAACAAAAATGATATTTGTTCACGGAAGTCCTTTTATTTATTTTTTGGTTAATCAATCAATTAAAATGTCAATAATGTAAATCAAGTATAATGAGAAATTATTAATAGAAAAAATACTTTCTTACATTTTCTAATTTTATAATCATTTCAATTTTATTATTATTATCATCTTTAATATCGGAATTATTAACAACATTCCATCTTTCTAATATTGTACAAAATTGTTCACAAATCTTTAATGACGATTTTATAGTTTCTGAACATACTTTAAATTCTAGTAAACATCCACGTAATAAATTATTAAGATATGAAGCATGTCCCAAACGAATATCTTCAAAATCTCGAAGTGTTTCTTCCATTTCAGAATAGTTTTTATTCATATTATCTGCTACTGGTTTTTTTGATGTATTTGCATTTGTGTTTGTGCTATTATTATTATGTTGTTGATGGTGAGCAGATGAAATCGTTATACGTTGAACTAATTTGTAAAAATTTGAATCTATAATATCCATCTGTAAACATATAAATATATTTAAATTTATTCAATAATAATGATAATAATAATTTTTTAAAATAATAATAAATTCAAACGATATAACCTGCATATGTTCCCATAAACAATCAACAAAAAACATCATCATAGAACGAATTTTCCACGGTAACAGTTTATTATTATCGTTATGATTTTTTTTTATATATTTTTTGTTGTCACCTTGTTTTGTATTAGCATCTTCTTCTTTAAAATATTTTTCATTAAATGAAAGATGAATCCATGCTCGTTGAAGTTTTAACTGGGTCCGTCTTATTGATATTAAGAATGAAAAGATGTCACCATACTTGCTCAAATCTTCTGATGTAACAAATAAATCTAATGGCCAATCAATATTGTATTCAAGTCTAAGTGAAATTCCAAACACAAAGTCGTCAAATAAATTATTAGGTGATGTTTGTAAAGCATTATTATTATTATTATTATTATTATTATTATTATTATTATTATTATTATTATTATTATTATTTTGTTGTTGTTGTTGTTCATTTGAAAATGGTGATGATGATGATGATGATGATGATGATAATGGTAAAAATTTGAAATTAAATTTTTCTAATCTAAAATCATTTTCTGCTAATGTTCCTACCGAGGCTCTAATCAAAAGAGAATTTAATTCTTGCTCTTTGATTGATATGATTCTTGTTGATAATCTTGGGATTGTGATTTTTTCAAACTGTTCAACCAACGATAAAGCAAAATTTCCTTTACCAAGTAAAAAATAATTTCTAAATGTTTCAAGACAATCTATAACCTTTTCACCTGTTAAAACAACTTGCCATAACCATTTTGCAACATTGTGACGAATTGTCAAGATCGTGCTTTCAAATTCACTTTTATGAAATATAGGTTGTGACGAAAGTTCCAACAAATAGTTCAGATGCAATGACCTAATTTCTTGTGGTAAAGCACTATTTGAATTGTATGACGATGATGACAGTGATGATGATTTACCAGAATTTTTTACCGTTGCAATTGCTTTCCCTACAAATAATATTGATTTAGCAATATCAATTGAAATGTGATTCGGAATAAATGACTCATCAAGAACAAATCTTCGATGCCAACTTGATTGAATGAATTGATGATTGTTGTTATCTTTGTCATTGTTGTCTATTTTTTTGTGAGATTTAGTGGTTAAATCTTTGACAAAAAATTCACCATAAGGATCTTGCAAATGTCCGTAAACAATCCAAGATGTGATATGCTGATACATAACCTTATGACAGGTTTGTAACAATATCAGCATAATTGATCTCAATTCAGGGATTCCACTATTACATTTTTCTTTCATTAAATTTAATATTCGACAACCAAAATATTTATTATTGTCTGAGTCTTCTTTTAACTCATTAACCAGCTGATATAAATTTGGTAAAATTATAAAATAATCACCAAATGCCGATACTATTTGAGAAATTGGAACAATTCCACACATGTTAGCCTCTTTGTTTAAAATTCCCATTTCCGATTCAATTATAATTTTTTGAAAATCTTTTAATATATCATTTATAGAGTTACATAAAGCCTGTATAAATAATCCTTTTGAATTATTGTTGCTATTGTTACTGTTGTCATTGGACATGACGAGACATTTGTTCCTTTGTTGATCCAAGAAATCTAAGATTTTATGATAATAAAACCCTAATTCGGCAAGTCTTTCCAATGAAGATCTCTCAGCATCATGTAGAAAAGGAAAGTCTGGTGGAATTTTGAAAGTTTCTGGTTGTTCAGAACCTGATGGATATTGAACAAACAAATCACCAGAGTACCCTGATAATGCTAATAGTAATTCGTGAAGCATTTTTTTTTTAAATTATGAAATCTGTACTAGTACTAATACGCGTGACATTGGGCCTTTATATGCAGATCTATAAAATGTATGAAAGATTCGGCTCTTTTAAGTAAAAGAGTAAGTTTTCATTTAAGAATGAGTTTATGCCTGTAGCCAAAAAATTGAGGTAGTCTAGATATACTTTAAATTTTATTAATAGAATTTATATATATATATATATGAAATTATTATTATTATTTAATCAACTGCTGTGATAAAATTTCATTTGTTTCTTATTTCTTATTTATAACCCTCGATATTTGTTGTAGTTTGTACCAAAAAAATATTCCAACTAAAGTTTCCTAATGTCTTCTAAATTGTTCTCGTTCATCATCATTATTCACCAAAACATATTCGTACTCCTTCCTTACTCTGAAGTACGGCATGAAACCTCTAGTCGGGCTTTTCCACCACGTGGTGCATCAATAATAATTATTAATAAATAGTGGCTATGATATGGCTTTTGCTTCAAGATTTCTTGATGCTGGTAAATGGATCACTGAAGATTGCGACACAGAGGAATCCTAACGATTGTAAAGAGTGGAGCTTTTTGTGGGGTGAAAGGATACGGCACTTATAACGTTTAATGGAACGAACTCCACTAACTGCTATAACTGTTTCCTGGAATACTCCAAGAGTTAATTCTAATACATCTGTCACAAAAGGTTATGGTCCCAAATATACCGCTAATCCCATCTTAACTGGCCTTGATGACGAACTTTGTACAGTTACCATTAAACAAATTGGTGTACATGTAAATGAATTTTTTTACCATATTTTTATTTTATCAGCGAAATGATAATAATTGTCATTACATTTTTATCTATCTATCTATCATCTAAATTTACTTTAAAGATATATGTGTAATTTCTAACTGGTATCAATCTATTTTCTTGGAACAATTTTTGTAAATTGCTGTCTCAATTCGTTTTATAAAATATAAAATATTAATTCACAGCCTGGTGCAACAAAATCTATATTATTGTTGTTGTTGTTGTTAAAGGATTTTTTAACTATTTGTAAAATTATAAATAAGGTCTTATTACCTTTAATAAGATAGTATAGATTACAATAATTATATTTATAATCTATATATTACTACACTATGGTTACTAGTATTATGCATGACTTAAGAAAAGAACGTCAATTACTTCTGCCACTACTATTTATTATTATTATTATCTATCTACATAACAAGGACTACGAGAAAAATATTTTGGATTAGCAATGTGCACACATGTTGTGCGTGAAAATCAAACTCGCGCAGATTTCAAATTCACGCACAACGCATATGGGATTTGGACTAGGAAAATCAACCTCTCAGCTGATTTTTTATTTTGAGTTTTTTTACTTAGTATTAATCTATTATACAAGGATTGGATACAATTAGAGGAAAGATTGGATCTTGTTCGCATATTAGAGGAATGAGATATAGGGCTTGGAATACTTTCTTTGTATATTAAAAACATATGCGTAACCAATTTTAAAAGGATTGTTATATACTAAAAATAGATTTTTTGCCTGGGTGGTAATCTAGTTCACATATTATTTTACATCTGATCAGTGTATAAAATTCAATGTGCGGAATGTGCGGGTGTAACATCGTACATTAGTAATAAACTAGAAGCGCCTAATGTTTCTTCGGCCATTTGTTTTTTCCAACCTGTATAGGCCCTAGTTATCCAATTAGCAATGTCGAAATCTTTGTAATTTCTTCTTCGAGTTCTCCATATTCCACATGTTCCAATAGTTTTTCATGCATATTCAAAAAACCGATCTATGGTCAAATGACTATTAT